TAAGAATGAATTGGGCCCGAGGCCATTTGATAAGAATAAATTAGGCCCGAGGTCGTTTCTTAAGAGTGAATTGGGCCCAAGGCCGTTTTCATAAGAATGAATTGGGCCCGAGACCGTTTGTTAAGAATGAATTAGGCCCGGGGCCGTTTGACAATAATGAATTGGGCCTGAGGCCGTTTGACATGATTGGACTCAAGGCCGTTTGATACATTTGATAGAAATATGGATGGGCCTAAGGTCATTCGATGTGATTGACAAGGATATCACTTATTAGAGAACTTCTATTCGTATAACCTCTTTACTTTGGTGTTATTCACTAAGCTTTCACTCGCTCCTACTTATGTGTATGTAGGTGAGCAAAGAGATGTCCAACCCCAGCCTCAGTAAAGCTTGTAAGAGAAATCCAAGTTTTGTGGAGTCAACCGGGATGTCTCATGCATAAGACTCCGTTTTTGTCCTTTTGTTTTATTCTTTTGCTACCTTGGTGGATCCGTTGGATCACCTATGTATATAAACATTTTATTTGGCTAGCCATATGTATGTATGATCCTAGATGCACAGGATGTTTAATTTGGTTCTTGGTGTGAGTTATTAACATACATGTGGAAATGTTTTTGGTATGCCATGTAAGCACAACTCGATGGACAATTTTTTTTAAGATTGCTTCCGTTTGGTCTCTTTATTATGATAATGTGTGTTTGGTTTGTCAGAGGCTGCAAATAATCTTATAATTACTGGTCGGTTATGATCTTAACCTGTAGGGGCGGGTTCGGGCCATGACAGTTATGTTTAAAAATAGTTGTGGTAATGAGAAAAATTTGTATGGGCCATAATTTGGTTACGAGGAAAGTAATAAGGGTCATATCTAAATTGATTTTAGTTACATATCGAATTGGTTATATTCCAAATAAGAGAAGGGGGAACTCACATTGAGTATGTTTCAATTTAAAACAATAAATAACAATCACAATCAAATAATCAAGACAAATCGACACAACGATTTAACGTGAACAAAATCACAATTGGAGCACCTCCAATTGTGATAAAAAAAAACCATGGACTAAAGCTACAAACCAATTCACTAAGAGATAAAAAGAAAATTACACAAGTGTACCATCAATTACCTAGCAAATCCATTCCCGAATTGAACCAATCCCAATATGCCTCTTCCACCACGTCTTTTACTCAGAATTGTCTTATCCAACGCTGAATCTACAACGCCGATGTTAAATCCACGACGATGAGCCACTCCGGAATCCACCAAAGCTTCAGGCTTAAGTATTCTGGAATCCATCGAAGAACACACCTATCTTTTATGAACGAAATAATAAGAACAACACTTGGTGTTTGACAATCTGTAGTTCGTTGATCAATCGATCATCTTCTATACACCAAGGAAACTCATATAATAGCCTCAAATAGAAAACACTTTGGTTGTGTTTGGTTATGTGTTCCGAACACATTTCCACCCACTGATTTGAGTGTGGTGTTTGTTTTGAACTTTCAAATTATAATTCCACACCCACTTTTCAAAACTCCTCTCCAGGCGGGAAAATTTGGCTAACTTGATCGTCCTCCCGGACCTCCCCTTGAACGTTCGGCCAGTTGACTAGAATAGTGTTCGGTTTTTTTTTTTTTTTTTTTTTTTTTCTTTTTTTGCACCTGTTATTTTTATATTGTAAATAAAAAATATTTTCAGAATTTTTTAAATTTTTATATGAGTTTTGAATAGAATTTTAGATTGTGTGCTTGGTTATGAATTGTAAATTTTTTAATCAAATAACTTTTCTAATTTCAAAAACTCAAAACTCCCTCTAAAACTCAATTCGAAACGTTTTTCAAAACTCATAACCAAATAAAATTTTCACACTCAAATCATTATTCCAAAACTCACAAACTCAAAATGCAACTCTATTCTCAAATCATATTTAGAAAACTCTACCAAACGCTACCTTTGTTTTTTCTTTCTCTCTAAGATTTTGAACGACTTAAACCCTAAAAACAGTACTCAGGGAAATTTTATAGTAAACAGGATCGCGAAGACCGCTTACCGCTCGAGCAATGTGAGTAAAGGTGGTGCAAAATATATAGACTGATCGCTTGAGCACACATTTCACCGCTCGAGCAGTAAAATTTATTTCTCAGAAGTTCAAGCGCTCTGCAAAAGTATTGGATGCTCCTATTCATCGCTTAAGCGGTCAAACCATTTTGGCTTGGCAATACATGAAAGCCTCAAGATCACAAACTCCTTTGTATAGGCACAATTCGGGTTGAATTCACATCTAAACACTCACATCCTCACTAAAACATAAGAGCGAATAAAATTACAGGTGAAAAGAGTTTTATCAAACGGGATTGCCAATTACAAAACTTAACAAAGTAAATAAGGGGCAAACTCACACACACCCTCATGCTTCTGTATGACAAAGAATGGATCAATACCCTTTCTTCCACTATTAAATTGAGCTTATGTTTATTTTTTCCTAGTCAATTGCAACTATTTAATTATCAAACTTTATACCTGCTTTAGTAACACAAAATCGTTTGAAAAAGCTTCATTTAAACTTATTTTTGGCAAAATTCGATTAGCATGGAGTGGAACATGATTTTATATGTAAAATATGAAACATATTCCAAGTATTGAGGGAATGTAAGTAGTAAGGAAGTGTAAATATGAGATGACTTATACTTCTTGAGCAAAGCTTGACTCAGTCAATATCTATTTTTGATTTTTTTAACACTTAATAAGTCTTATACACAAAGTTCAAAATCTATCTAATATCAAAACAAAATACTTGTACCAATTAATCCTACATATTTTTAATTGTTACCAAAAACTCTTCTTTTTTTTTATCATTTTAAAAATGCTGCTACATTCAATGACTTCCATCAGACTCACTGAAGACTCGCCAGAATATCCAACATTACCAAAAAGTCGTCGGAGCATCATTGGAAGTTCACCGGAGTGTTTTAAGCATCACCGGAAGTTTGTCGAAGTGTTCTGAACGTCACTAGAAAATGTCAAGAATATCATCGAATACTCACCGAAATATTCAGAATATTGCCCCCCCAAAAAAAAGAATAAATAGAGACATTATAGTTAAAAAATAGAACAACAACAAACAACTAAGCAAATAATCTGTAATATTGATCAAACTGAAAAGTAAACTTTGAAATTGTAAAATGTTACAGTTTCAAAGAATTATTCTATTAAGCTGGAAAATATGTTATGAAATTTGAAAATTTTACAATTCTAAAGAATGTAATGAAATTGCAAAATTTTGCGGTTTTAAAGCATAATTCATTTCAGCACAAAAAAAAGATGAAATTGTAAAATTTTATAGTTTTCATCGCCTGTAATTAAAACTTAAAAACAACTTATTCAGAACTTAAAATTTTTCTCTATTAAAACAGAAAAATAGACGTGCGTAACAGAGAAAATGTAGAAAAATTGAGAAATCGAAGAAAAGAATAGATATAGAAAGAATATTGTACTCCGGCAACTATTTTTTGTTTGGATCTAGTCGGATCTCATGTAGATTTACTCAAATCTAATGTAGATCTGAATAGATCTACTCATCTTCTTCGTCGTCGGTGGGGATGACGTAACGAGTTGATATCGATGGTTGGTGGTTGCCGGTAAACCCCAATCAGTGGTGGTCGTCGATCACCGGTGACTATATATTAGAAAGAAAAAGAAAATAAGGAATGTGTGATCACTGGTCGTCGGACATGACAAAGAGAATGAGAGGAAAACGCAGAAAAAAAGAAGAAGAGGAAAACATAAAGAATGAGAAAAAACGTAGAGAGAGAGGAAAATTGTAGGACTTTTGGATCTACTTAAAAAATTGTAAGATTAAATAATGTACACATATTTCAAACAGGACCTACGGGTAATTTTTCTAAAAAAATTTTCGAAGTGTCTCTCTCAGTCAATCTATTAGGAAAATTTTAGGTTGCGTTTGATAGAGTTTTGTAAATATGATTTGAGAGTATGAGTTGTATTTTGAGTTTGTGAGTTGTGAAATTATGATTTGAGTGTAGAAAATTTGTTTGGTTATGGTTTTTGAATAGAGTTTTGAAAGTTTGATTTGATATGTGAAGTAAGAAAATTTGTTTAGTTATGAGTTTTAAAAAGAGTTTTCAAAACTTAATTCAAATTGTTATAACTCATAACAAAACACACTACTTTCACACAATTGAAAATTCTGATCAACACTCATAACCAAACTCTTTTTAAAATTCAATTAAAAAAATTTATTATTAACAGAAAATAACATTAATCAATTTCATCATCACAGTTGATTTTGTTAATATTGGCTGGAAGCCTGGAAGTTCCTGGTTGAAATCAGTTTGATCTGGTGTTGTCTGCCCATTAATGACGTATATGTTCTTCACTGAGCTTTTACAAAAAACTGGAAAATGTCTTCTTCCACTTTGAATGGACAAGTTGGAAGCAAAGCATAGTAAAAGCAGCTTCTGGTTCATTCGTTGACAATTAAGATTTAGGATATTTTTTGAAGGTCCATTTATTATACATATGTATATGTTTTTAAATTTGCCGTACAATCTTATTTAGTGTTCGAAGTCACTGTGACTGAAAAAAAAAATGCTAGTACCCAAGCTTGCCACAACCTTAGGTCATGCACTTGGAAATGCAATACACTTCTTTTATTTTATGTAATAGTAAATATTCAATGCAAAGTTTTTTCTTTTCCTTCGTATTGCTGCCTTTTTTCTTCTTTTTTTTTTTCAATGAAAAAATTATAATTAATGAATCCAAGCCATCCTTGTTAACCTGGATAAGCTTGTCTCCCTTATCTTTTCTTTTTTGGGGTAAGTGGCACAGTGCATACCTGTTCCCCTTCTGCTTAAGCAATGTGGTGGTCACCCCCCACTCCTTCCTTCTTCCCTATTAAGTTTTGATGGTCTTAACAGTATTTTTGGAAACAATTGACCAAAAAAAAAAAAAGTGAAAAAGAAATTTTTTTTTGAGCCCTCTAAGCCCTAACAGAGAGTGTGGGTTGGGTTAGGTTCAGCTCGGTTGCATAGCCCTCCGCCCCCTCTCTCTCTCCCCCCTCTAATTTTCTCTTTCTTGATTACCAGTTCTTACTTCTCAACTGCAGCGAAGCACCAAAGAGCTCAGAGAAACTCTATCACTCCTCACCATGAACTGCTCAAGTCTCTCTCTCTTTCTCTTCATATATAATATACATATACGAATATATATATATATATATATAAATGTTCTTGTGGTTTGTCTGATCTCTGCTTTTCCTTTGCAGTTTCCGGTGAAGTGCCGGAGGAGCCAGTGGTTTCGATGAAGTCTGGACTTCTTTACGAGAAGCGATTGATTGAGAGGCACATATCCGTATGTTTGCTTCCTCTCTTTCTTGATTCTAGGGTTTTAATTTTTTTTCTTCTCCATGTACTCTGTTTGTTTACTGAGAAAATGGTAAATTGAAAATTTTGGATAGTAAAGGTTTTTATATTTTGGTACTTCAGAAATTTTAAGCAACAAAGAAAAAGAAAAAAAAAAAGATTCAATGTTATCTTTTATTTTCCCCAATTTTTATATGGGGTAAGTTTGTTTACATTTGAACTATGTTTGTACCTTTTATTTGTCATTTTTCTTTTGAATTCTATGGTTATTAGTAAGAGTTTCTGATGTAGGGTTTTAATTTGTTTCTTGCCAATGTACACTGTTTTTTTGCCTAGAAAATGCTAAGGAAAAAAATAGAAGTGGAAGGGTAGTGAAGGTTTTCATTATTTGAGGCTTCAGAAATTTTTGAAAAGCAAGAAAGAAAGAAAGAAAGGAAAGAATGCAATCAACTTAGTAAAGCTTTTTGGGTTAATAATTGTGAATATGAAACGGAAGAGTCAATGTTATCTTGTATTTTCCCCAATTTTTATCAGCAATACATTTGAAACTCTGTTTTTACCATTTATATCACATTTTTCTTTTGAATTTTATTGTTATTAGGAAGAATTTTCAACGTAGTTCTAAACATTCTGAATTTTGCATTTTTGTTTGTTCTTTAACTAGGAGTATGGAAAATGCCCTATTACTGGGGAGCCTCTGTCTGTGGATGACATTGTACCGATCAAAACCGGCAAGGTTTGCTTCTGTTTACTTGTATTTTTATGCAACTTGTTGTCAGTGTTTTCAGTGCTGAGTATGTTTTCTTGTAGCTTAATCATATAAGAATTCTGTGCAGATAATGAAGCCAAGACCAGTACAAGCTGCAAGCATTCCCGGGATGCTTGGAATGTTCCAAATAGTATGTGTTTCCAATCCCAAGTATCTTGTTTATTTAGAGTCTACTATTAAATATCTCTTCATGGAATATAAAACATTACGCCAGTCCTGCTGTCATGTCGTTTCCCCAGAAACATTGTGATTGTACCTGATTCTTAAGGTTGTTTTCAACTCCAAGCCCAAATTTATTCATCATCACAGTTGATTTTGTTAATATTGGCTGGAAGCCTGGAAGTTCCTGGTTGAAATCAGTTTGATCTGGTGTTGTCTGCCCATTAATGACGTATATGTTCTTCACTGAGCTTTTACAAAAAACTGGAAAATGTCTTCTTCCACTTTGAATGGACAAGTTGGAAGCAAAGCATAGTAAAAGCAGCTTCTGGTTCATTCGTTGACAATTAAGATTTAGGATATTTTTTGAAGGTCCATTTATTATACATATGTATATGTTTTTAAATTTGCCGTACAATCTTATTTAGTGTTCGAAGTCACTGTGACTGAAAAAAAAAATGCTAGTACCCAAGCTTGCCACAACCTTAGGTCATGCACTTGGAAATGCAATACACTTCTTTTATTTTATGTAATAGTAAATATTCAATGCACAGTTTTTTCTTTTCCTTTGTATTGCTGCCTTTTTTCTTCTTTTTTTTTTCAATGAAAAAATTATAATTAATGAATCCAAGCCATCCTTGTTAACCTGGATAAGCTTGTCTCCCTTATCTTTTCTTTTTTGGGGTAAGTGGCACAGTGCATACCTGTTCCCCTTCTGCTTAAGCAATGTGGTGGTCACCCCCCACTCCTTCCTTCTTCCCTATTAAGTTTTGATGGTCTTAACAGTATTTTTGGAAACAATTGTGGGCTTCATACATGGTTACCATCAAAACATTATTTCTATGAACTACTAATTTTATTGGTTTCATCGTTCTAGTTTTTTTGTTTTGGCTTCATGTTTACATTCACAAGAAGAAATCACCTTATATTCATATTTGATGTTCTATAGTTTTCTCTTTTAATGTAATGTTAGGAATGGGATACGCTTATGCTATCCAATTTTGCATTGGAGCAACAACTACATACAGCAAGGCAAGAGCTAAGTCATGCCTTATACCAGGTACTGATGAAGAATTTATAGACTCTAAAGTTTGGATGAATGTTTTGCATATTTTTCTCTATCTGATTTTAAAGAAAAATATATTATATTCACTTTTTAATTTTAAAATTTAGATCACATCATCCCCATTTTCTCACGATGAGCATGAACCTCAAGTTATTATTCTAAATTTTTTGGTGTGACAGCCTTTTTTTTCCCCCGGTGCTGGATGTTTACAATTGTTTTTGGTAATATTAGAAATTTGGAGCATTAGAATCAAAAGGTTTGTGTGCATCTATGTCCTGAGGTTGAAATAACCATCCCTACATGAGGTGTGAACTGTGAAGATATATTCTTGTATAGTCTTGAATCACAAAGAAAAATAATCAGTATTTGAACTGGGTTGCAACTGTTGACCAGAACAAGGCCTAGATATCAAGCGACCATGTTTAATGCTGGACTTTGTTCAGTTTTTGTCATTTATTTAGAAATTTTTTAGGTATGCCAAGAAATGATGGAAAAAGCATGCCCTTTTGGTTGAATTTCTTATGAACAATATGAAAAATTGAGGTGAGACTTGGTGTGGACCCCTTTCTTAGATTCTCGAACAGTCCTTTGCTTGCTTATGATTGTCATTTACTTTGTCTCATTCTGTGAGGCATGGTTGACCATGCATACAGTTTGAGAAAAATCAAGAACAAAAGTTCGTTTTGCCTTGCATCAATATGATAACTTTTGGGGGGAATTGAGATTGTATTTAGATAAAAATGCTAATATGGAGAAGCTATGGTTAATTATTTTGGCTTTTCAATCCTATTTTTTTATTTTTAAATTATCGTTTTAGTGTGTCCGCATCTTTTTGTATCTGTATTCTGTCTGTCCTTGTCCTTCTTTGCTTGTAAGTAGCATACCCAACCCAACATTGTTGAGCATCGCTTCTGTTTACAGTTGTAATACATAGTTGTGTTGGTAGTGCTAGAGAAGTGCAAGTGTTTGAATCCACAAAATTTTATTTTTAAAATAGGACATGTCCAAGAAGTGTTGGGCACATTTCTAAGAGTGCCTAAGAAGAGAGAAGTGTTTCACATATGTTCAGCATGGACACGACATTCCCATTGAATTATCCGTTTTAGCTCTTAACAGGTGGGGCTAAGTACAAACAATTCTAAGAAGATGATGTGCCCATCTAGAACAACCAGTAGCCATTGGACCCTTCCTGATTCGTGTTTAACACTCATCCAAACGTGTCCTAGTATTTTTTTTTTTTAAATAAAAATAAAATTAGACTTGAATATGCTTTAGACACTTGAGGGATAAACATGTTTTTCACTTAGACACATGAGTGTGAACAAAATAACTTAGGATACAATGTGCTCTATTATTTTTTCAAAACCCCTTTAGACGCGAACATGCTTCGGACACTTGGAGGCACGCATGTCTATCGCTTAGACACAGGATTTGAAGAAAATAACTTAGGATAGAATAATAAAGAAAATAATGTAGATTTATAGGAACTAGAGCTATTTTTTCATTTATTGTTATGTTTGAATGTGATATTCATGTATAATACATATAAAAACTATATATCTTGTGCATATCCAACACATACTCTGTCTTGTATATTTTTGGAAATTGTCATATCGACGTGTCCGTGTTGTATCGTGTGTCCGTTCTTAGATGCGGGGTTGCTTGGGGCCATAGAAAAGTTTGTTTGACATATTACAAATTTCTTGTCATTGAGCAAACGACGTGTCCGTATCATGTGTCCGTTCTTAGATGTGGGGTTTGCTTGGGGCCATAGAAAAGTTTGCATGACATATTACAAATTTCTTGCCATTGAGCAAACGTTAACTCAAACATGAAAGGTAATTATGATTTCCACGAGTTATTTTGCCTTAATATTTTTCCCCACTCATTGAAGTTCAGTCCTCATTTTCTTCATTATCTCACTTGTCTCTTCACTTCTACTTTCTACTTAATTAAATGAGATTTGGTTATAAAATTTACTTGTTGGCAGCATGATGCCGCTTGTCGTGTGATTGCAAGACTTAAAAAGGAAAGGGATGAGGCAAGGTCATTACTGGCTCAAGCAGAAAGACAGATGCCCATGTCAGCACCGATAGCGACTACAGTTAATGCTTCTTCTTTGAGCAATGGGAAAAGAGGTTTGCCTTCTATATACTTCTAGGCTGATTTCTTTAATTTGCTTTTAAGTTACATGATGTCTCATTTGTGTTGTTTGTTGTCATTGCAGGTCCTGAAGACGAGGATATAGGTCCTGATGGAAAGAGAATCCGTCCTGGAATTTCTGCTAGCATTATTGCAGAGCTCACAGACTGTAATGCAGCACTTTCACAGCAGCGCAAAAAGCGGCAGGTTTTGTTTATCATGATGTATAATTTCAGTGATTCATGAAAATAGAGATTGGTATTTTTTTTAAGATACAGTTGCATGACTTTCAGTTATTCTTAATGGATATAAGCTATTTGACATTAGTTCTTGTTTGTATGTTTTTCCGTAGATCCCACCAACATTGGCTCCTATTGATGCTTTGGAGAGGTATACCCAACTCTCTAGTTTTCCACTTCACAAAACCAATAAACCTGGCATTTTAGCTGTGGATATCCTGTATTCCAAGGTACGACATTTGCCACAATTTAAACTGCATTCATTTCTTGGTATCTTCTGTCATTACATGTAAATAAGGTTGTTGAATTGCATTTATGCTAAGGCTCTGGTTTGCCCTTAAATATTTTTTTCTTCAATTACTATCCAAACTCCATACATCAGTTTAGAGTTTAGAAAAGTTCTCCTTTGATGCTGTGGTTCTTCATTGGTAACCTGGTGCTTCATCTTATGTTCAAATAGTGATCACGGGTTCCATTTAGAGTGAAAAGGTCTTGCCTTGGTACACGCACACAGATGCACTTGCGGTCTCTCACATGCTTTTTATTTTTGTGCAGGCTTTTAAATGCAAAAAATTAAGATCAAAGAGAATAGAAAAAATTCTAGACATCACACCTAGATCTGAAATGATGGCCTATGGCCTATCCCTGCAACCGATGTCTAAAAATCCTACGAAATATAAATATGCGCCTAGCTTTCAAAACACTAGAGAACCTAAATAACTAGAAATATGATTATGCATGGATTCTATAGGACCCTCCTTAAAATCATGCCAATGTTCAAATTTTTTGTATCTTTGAATTTACTTTTCCTTGAGCTTCTTATAGCCTGCATGATTCTCCCCCGATTGAATAAAATTCAATCTCAAGTTTTAAAAACTGAAGTATAAGAAACCACAAGTTGTGAACCATGCATCTCCAACGATTAGTTCTCGACTGTCCAGCTACAAGGTAACTTGGGTCCAATTGGGCTTGGCTGGGTGGGAAATAATCTGGATTATAAAATAAAAAAAATTCTTCAAACTGACACCTCCTTTTGCTTCATTTGAGATGGCAACGAAAATATTGAGAGATGGATATTTTCAATCGTGCCGCTAAATTTTGGAATAACAAAATCAAGGGTGACAGTTTCTCATGTTGAATTGTAGTAGTATCACCGTTTTTTATCCAATTTGGTTTCGTAAGGCCTTTTTTTTTATTTTGATATTCCCAGATTCCTTTCCTTTTATCCTCTTTCCCATCGTAAAGTCGTCTTCTTGAATATCAACTAGAGCAAGTTCACGAAGAAATTCTGTTGCCACCATATCAGATAAGTCTGGCAGCGATTTAGTTCCCTCTGAAGAAGGTATTTTAAGTTCAGGTCCAGCAACAGGTTGCATTAGTTCTTCAACCACTACAGCTTGAGGCTTCCAAGTCTTTATTTTGAACTCTGCATCTTTTGGAGTCATGAATAGAGTTTGTTAAGGTGCTTTCATCGCATCAACTAGATTTTTTGCTTCCTTTATAGCCTGGCCATATTTTACATTGAGCAGGTTTTGATTTTCTTCCTCTAGTTCTATCTTGAAACACATAATTTTGATCACCCACTTTCTTCAACATTAGTGCTCCTTAGGGAGTTTCTTGTTCTTCAATTGGACCTCTGTTTAACCCAATAATGATATTGCTTGTCACCTTGTTTTGAGTTGGTCGGCTTTCTATAGCATTATGTTGATCAATAAAACTGTCAAGTTGCTCCATAATTCTAAAAAGAATCTAATCTCGATGGTTCTCAGGAAATATCCCTCTAAAAGAATTTTTTTTAAAAAAATTTTGGAATGCATAGACATGTTTAGAACTTGCTATAAACAATGGGATCTTTTGCTTTTATGCCAAACTGATGTAGCATAAGTGCAGGAATATTCTTCTACTAGTAGATAGGCCAAACTTAATTGGAAAGGGCTATTTAGAGCTGATTTTGATTGGATTCAAAAGGCTAGAAGAATGGTTAAATATGGGGATTTTAGCGTTTTAAAGGTGTAACAAAACGTTAAGAGTTTGAGAACGAAAACACGAGGTTTTAGGGGTTGTCTTGGGCACTGTAAGCAATGCCCATAAATAGTAGTCTTCTGATTTTGTGTTCTTTTAGGCACTAGGGTTGAAGGATTGAAGGGAAGATGGATTATTCTTGTGGAATAATGTTTAATGGTAGGGAAAAGGTAGCAAAATAGATATAGTCTGCAGTTTAAAGGCTTTAAATGCAAAAAAATTAAGAACAAAGAGAAGAGAAGAGAACAGTAGAGAAGAAAATTTTAGGCATCAGAACTAGTTTTGGTGTACATGTCATAAAAGGATTTCTGTATGCTATGATGTGAGCATGGCAGTTTTGATTGTGGTCCTTTGGCCATTGTGCATAAGTCACATGTTTGTGATCCCCTTTCCTACCAGCTTTGCCTTGATTCTTGTCATCACTCGACTGTCTCCTCCATATTTGGAAAAAGGTTTTGTTTCTTTGCTTCACAATTTAAAGTCAAGGCTCTCAAGCCGTTTCAATTGTCCTCATCATAAAAAGTTTACACTCAATTTGTCGAAAGTTTCAGAAAGAGATTTTATTAAATAACGATGGCATTATAGACAATATACTACTAGAAGAATGAGTAAACTCTCAGTGCAAGCTCATGGAATAATAACAGCCAAAATTGGCATTTGTGAATGGTAGATTGGAAGCAAAAGTTACTTTAGGTCATATGATAGATAGTGTAGAATATAGGTCGGATTTGTCTAGATTTTCTTAGTTTGAATGTTCTAATTAAGCACTTCCATTTAGCATGTAATATCTGCGCATTACCAAGCAAGTGACAACAAAATTCTGTGATGAGCAAGGAATCTGTGATTTTTTATTTTTTATTTTTTATTTTTTTGATGGTGAATCATTGACCTTGAAGAATTGTCAACTTATTTTTTAGGGAAAAGGTATAGATTTTCAATAGAATTAGCAATGTTCCAAGATCAAAATCATGATATCAATCTTGCTCTTTTATGACTTGGGATGAAGGTCATGGTTTTTGGTCCCATGCCTGGTATGCAAGGATAGCCAATGCTAAACAACCCTGGATTTTATTTCTATGTTAGATAATTGGAACTTTGTATTCTTTTGTTGAATTGCCTTTCTGTTGCATCTGGGTACTTCTGTTTTTTAATTCTTCAGAAATTGTAATCAGATTTCTCTTAGAGTTCCAAAATTATTCTATGGGTGGAGCCTGGAGCACTCTCTTTTATTCCAAGAAAAGTAAAACGAACTCTTAAATCCCACAAATTAGATTGAAGCATTTTCTTTGGTGGTGTGTAGGATATTGTAGCGACGGGTGGGGTTGATACAAGTGCTGTACTCTTTGATCGGCCATCAGGAGAGATTCTATCTACACTTAATGGTCATTCAAAGAAGGTTTAGTGCTTTCCTTTCTTTTGTTTATTGATGGAGTTTTATCTCCTTATTAAAATCTTTTGGCTAAGCAAACTTGTCTTTCCTTTTTCCTCTGCTCTTTTTGCAGGTTACAAGTGTTAAATTTGTAGCTGAGGGTGACTTGGTTGTTACTGGTTCAGCTGATAAGGTAAACCATGCCAACTTCCATTGGATTTGAATTTTTTATTTTTATTTTTAAACTCCGCTGCCTTCATGCTATGCTTGTTTGTTTGGTTTTCTCATTCCAGTTTCTAATGCTGTGTTTGGTAGGCAGAAAGGAAGAGAAAAGAAAGAAAAAACTGTCTAATTTTTCTTCTTTTCCCTTGTCTAGTTCTTCGTATTAAGATTAGTCTTCCCTTGTTTAGTTCTTCATTTTAAGAGTAGTTAAAGGAAATGAAGGAGATAATCATCTAAAACTTTTTTGATGGCCATTGATAAGAATGCCTAGGGGCATCACCCATTTACAAGATAACCATAATCAAAAGAACTACTAAAAAACTGTTCTTCATAATTGAACTCTCCTAGGAAATCCACCAATGAGAAATAATATGTGCAAAATATCTTGTTGAGCCAAAATTGAGAAATCACCCTCCACGCCTTCCACATCCTCATCAAGCAACATCTATGAGGCCTACATTCATAAAGTTGGAGCACTGGTACTGTCATAACCTGAGGCACTCCAAAAATAGAGAGGAGTAAGCTTCACAATTCTCTAGCAACACATCAGAGTGTAGAACAAATAATCAACCTATATTCCATCCCCTTCTGCCCAAGTTCTCTGTAGTAAGGATCCATAATTGTGGTTTTTAACTTTTTAATGTGTGATTAGACATACGCTTTTGCAATATGATTTACTCCACTTGTGTTTGAACTTTTAACTGGATTTACATTATTGATTCTCTGTTTTATTTTATGGTGTTGCAGACTGTCCGATTATGGCAAGGGTCTGAAAATGGCAACTTTGATTGTAGGCATATATTGAAGGATCATACTGCGGAGGTAAATAATTTAAAATCCTTACTGGTCAATATTTTTAAAATGTGACTGCTTCAGTCGGTCTCATGTTTTTTTGCATTACATATGTGACACTGATGTTTTTCATCATGGAAAATATTTTCAGAATTTGCTCATTCTGAGTTCTGACAAATTCAAGCACGTGTACTCTTTTTGTTAATATATTATTTTTTTCCCTTCATTATTATTATTTTTTTGGTAGTGTTAAGAACTTCATATAGAGTAGGGGACTCAAATCTGTGTCCTTCTGTCATGGAGTGTGGCCTGGTGCCCTTCAGTCGGCACTGTCCACTCCGGGAATAAGCATGCATATTCACTGGCATGCATTCACACTTGACAGGCTTAGGTCACTTGTATCTGAACTCTGAAGGCATGATACACTCAATAACTCATGGAGACACAGCAAGACCAGGCTTGAGGAAAGTGCTTGTTGGAACTGTTAGACTGTCATGTAGATCTATTGCCTCAAGGCATGAGGCGCATAAATTATATTGGGTTCTAAGAAACACAGTGACAGTGATTTTGAAAAAAAGAAAAATTAGGATACGGACATAGCGGGAATATAAAAGATAATAGATATTTTATGTATTATTATTTGCTAATTTTATCTACATACAACCAAAAATATTGACAAACTGACAATAATTCAATATGAAAAATCACTTAAATTACTGTTTAAACGTCATTCAACATACAAAATACTATTTCATCAATCATAAACCATTATATTACAAATATCAAAAGCATTTATGTTCAATAACAAATAGGTCATTCATAAAAAAATACATAAAGCTCCACTATTTTGTTTGAGAAAAAAATAATATGGTGTTAACATTTACCAAAAGTTCCATAGAATCAAAATAAATAGAAGCAGATAATAGTTGCTGGCCTATAATAAAGCCAGAAGGGTATCCCTTTAAACATCCTGAAGAAGCTGGGATTTGGGTTTGTTTAAATTTATTTTTCCTTGACATGCTGTAAGTATTTTCTTGTCTTTTAATTTTCCTTTTATTTTCACATCTTATATCGTAATTATGGATGTACTACTGCTAAACTCAAAATATCTATCTGCTCTCCACCTTTCTTGATGCTATAAAAAGTGCTCCTCCCCTCAAATTTTGTAAATCTGTCATTTGCTGCAATTTAGGACCTAATTATTCACATGCAAGTTATGTTAGGCAGGTGACTTTGAATATCCACTTTTGTGTAAAATTTTCAAGATGGTTGCTTTTCCTTTTTCTTTCTCTCTTTCTTTTGTTTTTTTATTGAGCTAGATGGTTAAAAATTAGCTTTGTACAAGTGCATTATTTGGAGTGTTTGGGAACCCAAGTTTAAGGTTAAGATAGCCTCAAAACCAAGGTTCTGAAAAGCGGTTGCGGTCACCGTAACGGTGGCGGTGGCACGGTGGCGGTTGTGGGGTGTAAAGGCCGTAGCGTAACGGCTGCGGTAACCAGAACCGTGAATTTTTTTATTTTTTCACAATTTGAAAAAAACTTACCGATACGCATATTTTTTTTTCCATGGTCATATTTATTGGGTTTAAAATAAATATTGATCAATTTTTATAAATTTTTAAATATGATCCAATATATTTATTTTTAAATCACTATAAACTGAGTTTTTTACATTTTATTTTAATAATTAATGACTTTATATTATACAAAAAAATCAATTACTAACTATTATATATAAGATAAACAAAAACATAAGTAAGAGAATAAATAAGAGCCTAAATTTATATATATACATATTTTAACCAAGCCAAATAGATAATGACTATACTTATTATTATTTTTTTTTTTTTCAAACAATATATAGATAGACGCATACAAACAAAATGGTTGAGTGATAGTAGCTGAATAGAATAGCATAGGTCTTACAACTTTAACAAATCAATAACACGTGCTTCATCTTTCCTCTTCTCTCTCTCTCTATCTCTTGCGCCTCCATCTTCTCTCTTTATCTTCCTTCTTCTCTCTATCCCTCTTCCCCTATTTTCAACTTTTTTTGTGTGTTTTTTCTAAAGAAACAGTTTGGAACCGTTACGTAACGATGCATAACATGCATTTCAGGCCGTTATGACTGTTACGGCACCATTATGACCGCTACGGTAGTTGCTATGGCCGACACACCTGTGAATCTCAGTCACACTGCAAAAGCGGCCGTAACGGGTGGCGGTAACCACCAAAACCGTTACGTAACGGTTGCGGCCGCTTTTTAAAACCTTGCTCAAAACACACAAAAAAACCAAATAGCCTCAAATAGTACTCAAAACTAATGATTTATATATTTTTTTTTAAAAAAAAAAACAACAAAAACAAAGCAGCCGGCAGTGGTGACAGTATAGGCACAGTATAGTGCCAACCTAGTCGCACAGGCTGAAATGACAATTTTGCCCCTATAGACCAATTTTGGAAAAAGTGAGGTTAGGGACAAATTTGTCATTTCAACCTCAGACATCATTTCAAACACATTTTTCAATACAACAACTCAAATAAAAATCCATTCTGTCTTTCTAAACACAAACTAAAATAGCCTATTAAAATAGCCAAAATGCCTCTAAAATAGCCACTTCCCAAACACCCACATTGTGTTTGTATGGGGTTGGCAAATTATGAAGATGGCAATCCATGTGAATGAATATTTGTACTAGATGTTTTGATTGGCAAATTAGAAGCTGGGAAGGCAAATTACCAGAGATTAATATTCATGCTTTGTTCTTGAATTAAAATTAACAGTTCTTTAATAACTCGATTAAAAATTTCAGAATTCTTCTAGTTACTGTAGATTTATTTTGTTCCCTGGAACTGGGCTCTAGAAGTTATTGATTGTTATAATTACACTAATTCACTCATGTGTCAATTTCACCATTTGAGAATGACTGACTTACCTATCAACACTGACAGGTGCAAGCCGTCACTATCCATGCCACCAATAATTACTTTGTGACAGCTTCTCTTGACAATACGTGGTGCTTTTATGATCTTTCATCTGGTTTATGCCTCGCACAGGTTTCTCTCTCTCTCTCTCTGTGTTTGTGTTGTGAGTTTTCTATCTCGCATATGTTTCCGTATGTTACTCCTGAACTGTCATTTGTATGATTCTCTGTAGGTTGAAGATGGTTCAGGATCCGGGGGTTATACATCTGCAGCTTTTCATCCTGATGGTCTCATCCTGGGAACAGGCACCTCAGAGGCACTTGTTAAAATTTGGGATGTAAAAAGTCAGGTATAAATTCTGTCTTCTGCTCATTTATCCACATTGTGTTGCTATTCTTTTTCCTTTTCCCCTTCTCTGAATTTCTTAATTGGTTTGAAGGCAAATGTAGCGAGATTTGATGGGCATGTTGGGGCAGTAACTGCTGTATCTTTCTCAGAAAATGGTTATTTCCTAGCGGTACGTGTTTCCATTACCCCCACAACCCACAAAAATGGGAAGAGAATTCAACATAGCTTGTTTTGAGTGTTCTCAGACTGCAGCACATGATGGAGTTAAGTTGTGGGATCTGCGCAAATTGAGGAACTTCCGGACATTTGCACCTTACGATGAAAATACACCAACACAATCTGGTAATATTTCAGTGCTCCACTAGTAGTTGATGGCTGTTGTAGAAAATTAGCAATAACAAACCAAAAATATAAGAGTTGAATGCCTCCCTCTGCCCTCCTCTCAAAGTCGATAGGTATTTGAAATCTTGATTCCGGGGCGACAGATAGGGGTGTTTGACGTGCTTTGCCTTTTTGTGCTGTCGTTTATTTTGTCCCTATATTGTTCCATGGAGCAAGGTTTCTTTGTTGAGGTGATTATTATCCACTTTGAAGACTCTATCAGACTATCAGTATCTTTAGTCAAACCAAACTAAGTCTAGTGTTTCACTTAAGTTGGGTCGGCTACATGAACCTTTTTTTGCCGTTCTGCTTTGTCAAGAGCTATATGCACTATCAATATCTTTAGTCAGAATGAGAATATTGTATGCCTGCTCCATTTATTTGTCTTCTTATGGTGCAAAGATGACTCATCAAGAACTATATATAATGTTTAGCTCTATGCCTGGTTTTTGCAGTGGAGTTCGACCATAGTGGAAGTTACCTTGCTGTTGCTGGCTCAGATATAAGGTGGGCTTTGCATACAGTTCTCATCCCAGTTCTGCATTTGGTCTGAGATTTGGGGGTTTTGAATATTTTTATTATTATTATTTAAATTCTCCTGCTGCTAGCCTGGTTTGTGTTTTTTTGTGTTCGCTCATCTCCTGGTTTCATGTGACTGAACAAAGTGCTTTATTTGCTACTATTACACAGTTGAAGTGCAATACTTTGCTTGACAGATGCCCTGCCATTGATACTTGAAAATTGGCATCTTAACCTTTCTTTTTGTCTGTGCATGCCTTTTTTTTTTTTTTTGTTAGTGCAGAGATTCTGGTTGTGTAGATCCAACCTGCTCACTTTTTTGGTGTACTAATTCAGAAACCTAAGAGCATCAGTATCAAACTAGCTAAAGTCATTTTTTAGCTAGTTTGATAATACTATTCATAAAAAACGGGCTTCCATCAAGCTCAGTACAGTAGGTCGCTAATATACAAGATGAATAGTACCTCGTTACAATAAGCGAGGCACTATTCATCGCCATTTGTGTGTTCATGCCTTTTTTTTTTTTTTTGTTAGTGCAGAGATTCTGGTTGTGTAGATCCAACCTGCTCACTTTTTTGGTGTACTAATTCAGAAACCTAAGAGCATCCGTATCAAACTAGCTAAAGTCATTTTTTAGCTAGTTTGATAATACTATTCATAAAAAACGGGCTTCCATCAAGCCCGCTACAGTAGGTCGCTAATATACAAGATGAATAGTACCTCGTTACAACAAGCGAGGCACTATTCATCGCCACTTGTGTGTTACTGGATGTCCTGCGGACATCCGGCCTGTCAACCAGTCAACGACAAATATTTTTTTTTTTTTTTTTAAATATTTCTTCCAATTTATCTTTACAAAGGAACATAAGAATTGTTTGGCTGACAATTTATCAATTGAATTAAAAAAAGAATAACAAATATTTTAATGGGATTGAGTTAGAATAGAGAGTTTGATGCAGTGAGTACTAAAAAAATGACTAGCTAAAATAGCAAAAGTGGATTTTTGGTTATAATTTGGCTGAAAATTTGTTGAGACTGATGCGGATGCTCTAATATACATACTTTTGCAGGGTTTATCAAGTTGCAAATGTCAAGTCTGAGTGGAATTGTGTCAAAACCTTCCCTGATTTGTCTGGCACAGGTGCTCTCTCTCTCTCTCTCTCTCTGTTCAAAACTTGTAGTTACAGATCTTGATGTATATTCTTCTTTAACACCGTTGTGAATGCAGGTAAAGCAACTTGTGCTAAATTTGGTCCAGATGCTAAATACCTAGCAGTCGGATCAATGGACCGCAACCTCCGCATATTTGGCTTGCCAGGGGATGATGGTCCCTCAGAATCTTAAAAAGCCTTACATTCGCCTTTTTGAGAGCAAGCTATTTTGTATCCACTTGTCGTTGAAAGAGGAGTTGCAATTTACTATTTTGCCCCCCCAATTTTCCCTTCAAAATTTGCAATTTGATTTTGTTGTAGAGGAAGAATGCCAATCCTGATACCTGTAATATTTTTTTTAATGTACTATTTAAACTGCGGTATATTGAAGAGGTACAATGAATGTTTAATATGAAGATCCGTTTTTACCAAGAGACTTCTACGCTAATGTACTTTGACATTGTCATAGAAGTATTTGCCTACTTGCCCCTCTCTGTCTCTCACTCACAATATATAATCTATTTATTTTGGGTCTCTGGGTTGGTTATGGATTATAGGTCCTGTTTGGTGGGGTTTTTTTTTAAGGTAAAAGCTGATAATCAGAAAGCACAAGTTAAAAGTATTCATATCCCAATTTTCAAATAATCAATTTTTTTTATCTTATTTAAGTTATTTCTGTCTAATAAGTTATAAGAGCATCTCCAATGGTCATTGTTATAATGTCATTGTTATTGCTATAATTTGGCAATAATTAGTGTTATTTTTTCAAATTATAACAATGGTGTTCCAATGGTCATTTGCTATTTTGGTAAATCTCAACCAATTTTCTCTCTAAGTTTGTAGATGTTTGGATATAGGTTTTTTTGTGATTTTATTTTTATTAATTTTTTGTTTTTTGTAACCCTTTTTTAACTGTATGTAAAAATATATATATATATATATTTATATTATTCTCGACTAGACAAATAAAAAAATTGAAAAATTAGAAAAAAAAATTCAATTTAATTCACTCCATCCAAGAACATATCACTATATATTTAATAAATTATATATTGCAAAAATAATAGTTGTAGAAAATACTGAAAAATAAAAAATAAAAAAAAAATCATTACCAAAAAAAAAATGACATTAGAAATAAAGACTAAATAAATGACATTGTAAAATTTAAAAATATAGGGTCTCGTAATTATTCATCAGGAGGTAGGAGAAACAGTAATTTGGGCTGTTGATATTTGAAGACCACTTGGCAAAAATCTCATTTTTTCACATTGTGTAATACGTCTTCATCTGAGGGTCCAAATGAGAAATGTCCGTAGTCATTATCATATGTTCTTCTTTTTTCATCGCATCTTCTTGTCTTCTGATCTCAAAATCATGTTTTTTCATCTCAAGTTCTTTCAGCTCTTGCAGTGCTTGAATTCTTTTTTCTTCTCTTTCAACTTTTTCTTTTCCTTCTCAGCAAGGTATTGGTTAAATGTGTTCAATTGTATGCTCATTTTTTGGACTTCAGCTTGAACGACTTGATTTTTTCAAAATAATTCTTTTTCAGCTTTCCTACCCATAGGCCTTTTACCTTTTTCAGAGACACTGCCCTCACCAACAGTTGGATTGTTACCAACACTTGGACTGGTGTCATCTTCAAGAGAAATGCAGTTATCCATAGGAGAATCGGGGGCTGAATTAGGGGAAAACGGTGTATGTATCCTTGACTTCACCGTGTTCGTAGGAGTTACATCTTGCCACCTGATATTGTTTTGCAAGATTGGCCAACAATATTCAAAAGTAAAATGTTTGTTTTCATCTTGATAGTATAACAATTTTGCTTGAACTATATCAATAAAATATTAAATTAAATAATTAGTTAATTTTTATAGAAGACAAAATAAAAAAAACTAACATAATAAATGAAAATGAAATCTTACTATATCAACTTGTGACGCCCCACTTGGATGTAGATTTTCGACTTGCGCTAGACACCCATAAAGTTTGTTGCAACATTTCATGATTATACCCCATCGAGATGAGATAGACACTTGTGTTCTTGAGTGATCATTTTACAGCGAGCAAAAATTTTCAAAAATTCTTCCCAAAAAATGAGCATGCGATTGCGAATTTTCAACAATTGGGTCTTCAGTAATGTGACACCAATCTCTACAAATTGCCACATCTTCTTGAGTAGTGAATGGTTTTCCTCTCTTTGTTTTTAATGAACCTTCCATACTGATTGTATAAAAAATAAAAAATAAAAATATAATTAACACAAAATATTTTGTTATGAACTGAAATTGGTAAAATAAAGTGGTTGCATTTATATACTACAAAAAATGATCGTTTTTTTTTTTCTTTTTCTAGCTGTTTAATTTATAGCCATTGGTGTCTTGAATTGTTTGGAAATCTAGCCCTTTTTTTACTTCCATATTGAAATAGAGCCGTTAGGCTTATGTCACACATTCCAAGATACTACTCTCACCGTTGGATCTTTATATCCAACGGCTGATATATCAAGATCTAGAGTCCTCTTCTTCTTTCTCACACATCCCATTACAAAGTCTGTCTTCCTATCTATCTCTCTGTCTCTCCATTGCAAAGTCTGTCTCCCTCACTCCCACATTCTTTCTCTCACCGATCTAGTTTCATTCACCAATCTCTCTCTCCCGTTTGGTTTCAATCACCGATCTCTCTCCACTGATCTAGTTTCAGTCACTGATCTCTCTCCACTGTCTGGTTTCAGTCACCGATCTCTCTATATCTCTTGATCGATTAAACCGTCTCTCTCTATACCTCTCTCGGTCTCCATCGATGAAGCCAAAGCTTGGTTTCAGTCACCGATCTATATCTCTTTCCATCTCTCTCTGTTAGTCTCTATCGATTAAACCATCTTTCTCTATATCTCTTTCCGTCTCTCTCTCTCTCTCTATATATATATATATCTCTTTCAGTCATAGATCACCGATGACCTCTCAGTCACCGATCACCAATCAACTCAAGGTTTCAGTCACTAATCAAGACTCTTGGTTTCAATCACCGATCAAAGTATGATATATTTATTTTTTATTTTTTTGATATCAATCTATTAGAGTAAAAATCAAATCTTTCAGATCTTAATGAAGATATCTGAGAATCGATTTTTAGATGTTATTCTGAGAATAATTTTGATTTTGTTGAATGTTGTTTGAATGTTGTTGTTGCTTGAATGTTGTTGTTGTTTGAAATTTTTTGGTTGAATGTTGTTGATTTAGTGGAATGTTGTTGATTTAGTGAATTTATGTTTTTTAAAAAATTGTTGTAAAAAAAATTGTGAATTTCGCAAATGAAAAATTGTTCTGTTTTTGTGAGTTTTTCTACAAACGGATGAGAAAATGAGGGAGGAAAGGAAGAAAATCAGTTGGTTTGGGATGAGCTAGCAGATTTTCCATTTGCCAAAGTTGTTATCAAACTTGGCAACAAGTTTAGCATTTGTCATTTTTAACAGCTGCTATATCTCACCATTGGAGAACCCTTTCTCCTCAAAGCTGCTATATTATAGTTTTGGCAGCTCCAATGGCAAACCATTGGAGATGCTCTAAGCAGAAGTTGTACCAAACAGTCTGATACAGACTCTCAAATTAAAATAAGTTATAATCACCCACAAAAGCTGTAATAAACAGTTTCATACTTGGGTGATCTAACTCGTTCACCTTGGTACAATTGGGTCATGTCTAGTTGTAATAACCCAACCCTTGTATATATTTTGGGTATACTTTCCGCTCTTTAATCTGTGCATTTAAATGCTTACTGTGAAATTGTATGTGAAATTAAGTTTAATCAAGTGAATATTATGCTTATAAATGCAAATCTGTCTACTAAGAGGAATATCTGTTGCAATTCTAATGTTTGGATCAGAAATTGGAAGCCTTAGAAGCTTAATATTCTGAAATTGATTTTATATTTAAGATCAGCATAATTTTTAGATTAGAATATGATATTATGTGAAATTTCAATTAGGAATTATTAAACTGATTAAATTTCATCTTTATTCAATCATATATATATATATATATATATTATATATGCCCTTTGAGCATTTGACTTTGAACTTTATGCAAAGATCTCCTGAGAGAGAGAGAGAAGCAAAGAGTTGAGGAGAAGAGGAAAGTTCTTCACGGAAAGGATCAGGAAAATTAAGAGGGTTTATAGGGGGATTTTAACTCAAGGTATGTTTAATCTACTCTAATTGACCCCTCTCTTGGAATTGAGTAGGAATTTCTCTAAATTATGTAAGTTAGGGTTGACAATATGGATTATGTATGTGTTAAGTGGTTGAATGAGTTGTTGGCTCTTGTGTTGAATTGATTTGAAGTTGTATCGAGTTATTTAGTGAGAAATTACATCCTACTTCTTCAATTATTAAGCTTGAACTCATCCATGTGAACAAAGGGTTACATATGTGAGTGTGTATGTGCATGTGGGTGTGTGTGTGTGTGGAATATGAAATGTTATGGAATTGAGTATGTTGTGGATTCACAAATAAGGATCTAATTCATATTAGATTGATATATGATTTTTGGCCCATATTCTAGCAAATGATGGACTTGTTTTGTGCTTTGTAAACATTCACCAAATTGAGTTTTTGTTTGGAAAATTTCGGACTGAAACTGGGCAAATCGCCGCACGTGCGAGAGTCATGGCTGCACGTGCGGGAAATGGTGAATTTTTGGGATTTTTGCTACTGCTAAAAAGGCACGTGCGGGACCAATCGCCGCACGTGCGAGACCAACCGCTACACGTGCGGGGCTCACAACCGCACATGCAGCTCATGCTGAAAAAGTCCGTCTGCTCCGTTTTCTCTGTTTGACCCTTTGATATTATTAAAATAATTATTTGATACTTTTAGACTGGTTGTAAATTCATGCGAAGCATAATGAACTGAATATTGTTTAACAAGGAAACGAACTAATTCTTGAGTGGCGTGCACTTGTAGGGCACCTACCGGGAGGGGCTATCACTCCATCAACACATTGTGAGTAATAGTACTACAATTGTACGTTTACCTACTGTTAATAATTCTTATTATTAACACTCTGTATTTTGCAAGTTAATTACGTTAATAGATATGAAGGATTGAGAAATCTGCGTACCTTTGTACGACTCTGGAAACTGTAAGTTCCTATGTCTCCGCATGTGAATTGTATGTAAACTATTACTAGTGGATTGGTTCCGACATAAACATAGTTAAAAGTATCTCCGTTATGATAGGAAGTGATCCTTGTTATGGAAAGATGTGAACCGTATGCTTAGAGGGATGATTTCTTCTGTGATTTTGTGGTTGAGAAGTAATACCATGAAATTTGTTGACAGAAAAGAATTGGGAAAATAAACTTCACCTACTGGGAACATGACATTTTGAATATTTTATGATGACTCAACAAAATGGATAATCGGATAGAACTTTG